GCTTTGAAGATGACATCTGTGATGCGTTGACTGGTGAGGACATTGCCTCCAACCACGGCCGCGCCAGGGGAGGGAGAGAGGATTGACTTGGGCGGAATCTTGACGTGGATTGGTCTTAGGCATCCCTGGTTCAGGGGGATATCCTCGGAAATGAGACACCGCAAACAGTAAATGATGGCACTGTACGTGATGGCTTGCGGGGCGTTGATGTTGCCGTAGACCTCAGGTCCGGTTCCTTCAAAGTCAAACTCGGCTTCTCCAAGCTCGGGATCAATCTTGACCTTGAGACGAATCGGAGACCCATCATCCATGTAGTCAACCGCGGACAGATCTTTGCCTTCGAATTGTTTGTAAACTTTCTTGAGAAGTCGGCGAACACATTGCTCAGCATTCTTCTGAATGTTGACCATGTAGAATTGAACCGTCTCCTGGCCGTATTCTTCAATCAGAGTCTCGATAAGTGAGATTCCCTTTTGGTTTGCCGAGACTTGGGCTCTCAAATCGTTGATGTTGTCTGCTAGAGTGCGAGTTCCACTGCATCCTGGGTACTGCGCCGGTTCATCGTAGAATAGTTCGACGACTCGTTTCTCGTTGAACTTTCCTTGACTGACCAGCTTCTCACTCATAATGGATGCTCCCTCTTGAAACAACTCCCGGGAATGCGGCGGCATACTTCCTGCGCTGATGCCACCAATATCCGCATGATGTGCTCTCGAAGCAGCGTAGAAGAGAATGTTTTCTCCTTTTTCGTCAAATGCCGGCATCAGCAAAGTCACGTCTGGCAGGTGAGTTCCGCCATAGGAGGGATGATTCGAAATGATGACATCACCCTTCTCTAGTTTTCCTTTCCAAATTTCAGCCTGTCGACGAACACAAGTGGACATTGAACCTAGATGAACGGGTAGATGAGGAGCGTTGGCTACAAGTCCACCCGTGGCATCAAAAATGGCACAAGAAAAGTCGAGCCGCTCCTTGACGTTGGTGCTGACGCTCGTCTTTTGCAAAGCTCGCCCCATTTGTTCAGCAATAGCCATAAAGCGATGTCCAAAAATGCTTAGCATAATAGGATCGACTTCTCTGTCTGAATTATGATGTGACCTAAAACTATTAGATGAGTAAAACAATGGCTTAGATACTCACTCGTCTTTTGTGCTGGCTTTTTCAAGATCAATGACCACGTGTGTCTTCAAGATGACTGCATTTGCCTTTGGTGTGATGACGATTGTCTGGGTATCATCAGCGAGAATGGTTGGCCCCTGGATAGTGTCCCCAATGTTGAGATCCTCGAGTTTGTAAATGGGCGTCTCCTTTCTTCCACCCTCAAAGTACACCGGCTGGGTACCGTGTTGTTTCTTTTCGGACACTTCCTGTCGCTTGATGTCTTTCAGTTGTTTGTCTACCGTCTCCTCGTCATGGCGGAAGCTCTTTCCAATGCCACGGATGCGCACATCGTCGATAATAATATCCCGATCATCCAATGTAAAACCAAACTCATAACGATGTTGCTTCACAAAAGCGTTTCCAAAATCCCAGTCATTGCCTCCAAAGCTTGCTTTAGCCTCTTCTTGGCTGGGCTTGATTATCATGAGAGCCGACTCAGTACCGCGGTATCTCATGTTGAGATACTCTTCGAATACAATCTCGTCGTCTTGGAAACCCTGATCCTTTAGAGAAGCTAGTGATTTGTCCTTGAGCTTCTTCATTTTCTCTTGGAGCTCGCCAACCACCTTGGCAGCATTTTTCCAAGCCTTGGACTCGGGTTCTTGCCGCTCGTCGACGACATCTGCAAGAGCCATCCCGTAGGCAGAAAGGACAGAGGAGTATCTGTGAACAAGAATCTGCTGGATTCCCAGGGACTCGGCAATGGCCACAGCGTGCTGACCGCCAGCCCCTCCGAAGGTAGCAAGCCGATGTTTCGAGGTGTCGTGTCCCTTAGCCTCTGTTATCGATCGAATTGGTCTCGTCATTGTTTCATTGGCGACCGTTAGAAATCCATATGCCACCTCGTCTGCCGTCAAGTTCTTTCCTGTCTCTCGGTTGACTTGGTCCGCCAAAACTTGCAACACCTTTCTGCTCGCCTCCACATCCAAACCTTCATCTTCATTTTCCCCAAAAATCTTGGGAAAGAATTCAGGGAGTATGCGACCAAGGAATACATTCGCATCGGTGACCGTAGCTGGTCCGCCTTTCCGATAACACGCTGGTCCTGGGTGTGCTCCAGCTGACTCGGGTCCTACCACAAAGAGACCATTTTTAAAGAATAGTCGAGAGCCGCCACCAGCCGCAACAGTATTAATGTCCAGTTGAGGAGATTGAATCGTCACACCAGCAGTGGTCGTTTCAAAGACATGCTCGTATCGTCCATCACCATATCGGGAGACATCCGTGCTGGTGCCGCCCTAGAAAAGGTTAGAAATGTCAGGAAAATATGTTGGTTCTTACCATATCAAAACCAATGACTGGTGTTTTGGTTTCCTCGTCGTAAGAAGTCATTGCGTAGCCCACGACACCTCCAGCAGGGCCAGAGAGAATTGCCTTTAATCCAGTAAACTTTTCCACATCCACAAGCCCACCGTCGCTCTGCATAAATTCACACCTAGCACCTCTTGCTCCTTTTTCTTCCTTGACGCTCCGAGTCCCTAATCCACCTTCAAATCCAGCTTGAAACCCGTCGATATACTTGCGAATTGCCGGCGTGAGATATGCATCAGCACAAACCGAAGTCGCTCGGGAGACGAGCTTGATCATCGGCATCAGTTCATGGCTCAACGATATATGGTTAAAACCAATATCTTTTGCGACCCTTCCAATCAAAGCCTCGTGGTCCGGAAAGGTGTAGCCATGCATCAGACAAACTGCAATGCTTCGGATGCCACCATCATAGACTTCTTTCAACTTTGTTCGAATGTCTTCTTCTTCTGCCCGTTTCATGATCCGCACCGTCTCCCCGGACATCCCCCGGACCAGATCTTTACCCTCTGCTTCCTTGGTTCCGACTTGAGCTTGGGCTTCAGTGACTGTCCTCTTAGGGTCCTCGGCGTAGTCTTCAAGGGTGACACGTTCATCCACTTCAATTACCTTTTCGTAGAGAACATCTGGCTTTCTAATAGCGAGGTCAAAAATCTTGGGTCGCGACTGGTTTCCAATGGTCAAGCAATCTTTGAAGCCTTTTGTTACAACCATGGCAATCTTTTCGCCCTTTCGCTCAAGCAAAGCATTTGTGGCAACTGTCGTCCCCATACGGATTGAGTCAATTTGCAAAGTATCCAAGGCCTCGCCTCGAGGAATATCTCGACCAAGGAAATGGCTCATGATGCGACGAATTCCTTCGAGCGGGGCGTCCTTGTAGTTGGCAGGGTCCTCTGAGAGGAGCTTGATGATGATTTCCTCGCCATTGTTCTCTCCGACACAGTCGGTAAAGGTACCACCACGGTCAATTGCGATCCGAATCCCGCGTTGCTTTAAGGTTGTCATAGTCGAAATTGTGGTGATAAGCCGGTTGTGAAGAACGGGAGATGCAAGCATCACTGTCATTCGACTTCTGAGATATATATGATGTCCCTGCAGTATGCAATGCAGTGGGCCAGTAATGCGATTACAAATGCTCTGAGAACACATGTGTACTGATAAGGTAGGAGCTGGTTGATGTCATTGGCAATTACCCCACGTTCCTGTTTCGGCGACGCTGCTGCCGAGCACAACCCAAATGACGTTGGCATCAGTGAAGCATTAAAACGAATGAATAGTAATTAGTTGATGGAATGTAAGAAATATGTGAACGAGGATATCAGGCTTCTAGTAGAGATCGATATGGAGTCCGCTTCGTCGGGAACAGACCGAAGTCGGTCGTGGATATCAGAACGGAAGAAAACAATGCGTGTTTCCTGGATTTTTACGGGATTGGGCAGTCTTTGTTAGTCTACTTGAAGCTCGCCATGATGTCTGTCCACGAAGATTAAAGATTTGCATTTGCATTATGATGTTGCCGTACGTACAGCTAAGCACCCGATGTTTGTACCAAAGACGGAAGTATATGTACTCGTATCCCTTTGACATTAGAGATCGTACCTAAATATTAGAGTATTGCCATTCGCACACGAGAATATTGCTATTCGAATACCGGTACAACCCTTTAGAAAGCTCTGGGAAAACTAGTACCTAGTGTGCGCATTGGAATTCTTAGACTTTAGGAGTTGCATATGCAAGTAGCAATAGGTGTGTGTGAGTAGCAATACTCAAATATCATCTAATCTGGGAAAATCAGGTGGAAAGATGCATTAGCCAACTGCGGTACTGTGTAACCAAATTGATTTCAGTGTCGAAGAGCACACTCGAATTTTCTGTGTTTTTGAGGAATGCTAACGGTATTCCGGCCGAACTTTGAAGTGATGGGCCTCCAGTCAAACGTAAATAACAATCCAAAGCACCAAGAGGTCCAGCCCACTGTTTGCAGAAATTTCGTCACTTCTTTGGCCCACCGTTCATCATACCCTCGCGGACAAAGCCCAGTCGGACAAGAGCCAGAGTGGTTGATGCGGAATGAGGAGCAGAATATTTACAGTCGGGCGCAGTGTCCATCTAGCACCCTATAACCAAACACAGACAGCTAAAATAAAATCAATATCGGACAGGCCTTATGAATTTCCGGAACTGGAATACTCTACCTTCATCTGTGAATGGTATTCTGCAAGTGTGGGAATTTCGCGACTGAACTGTGACCACTTGTGGCATTGCGATAGCGCCTACCACCACCCAGCGCGCGATCACACCCATCCAGCACGCAAATTTGCAACACTGAATTCTCTCACCACAACACCTGCAGAAAGCGTCAGGTGCGTCCTAGTAGTACTTCCGTACCTTCCAAATCCATCAGCAACCCACATCCGCTTCAAACCCACCCGTCGCCCGTCTCCCGCCAATATCGCCCAATATCGCTCCCAGCCACCTCCCTGCCCTTATATGATTAAATATCATCCAAATCTTTAACAACAAGACACTAGGCGGCCTTAGTATAGTGGTCAGTATACCAGTTTGTGGACTAACAACTCCTCAATTCACTGGCGACGTGAGTTCGATTCTCACAGGCCGCACTCGGGTTTTCTTTTTGTTAATTATTTTGGATGATGGGAATGGATTATGGGGCAGGCGGGGTAAGTGGGTACAGCTGGAGAGTGGTTTGATTAGTTAGTAAATCAGGCTAGGGCATTCTTTTTACGTGAGGGAGGCTGTATTGTATCATCGGGAGTTTGTACGTAGTGTGCTGGATGGATCCTTGAGCACAGGTGTTTGGTCGGCGGCTGATACGGTAACACGGGCTCATTGGGGGACAGGTTCAGGGGCAGTATCCAGATAGAGACTGGGTCAGTGGGAGTGGGTTTGGGGGTTAGGTCAGGTGGTCGGTTGGTCGGTGGTCGGTGGTCGATAGTCGGTGGTCGATAGTCGGTGGTCGATAGTCGGTGGTCGATAGTCGGTGGTCGATGGTCGGCTTGGTGGGGGATGTTTGAGGATTGAGCGATGGACCGCAATAGGGGGCTTGGCTGCAGTTCAGGGCCAAAGACTCACCGCTGGATGTGATTGATAGCCAGAGTTTCCCCAGTTGGCATGAAGAATAGCCGGGAGTCATCTACAGGAGGCAAGGTGACACGCACGCTACGCTACGCTGAATGAGGATCCGCAACCCAAGATTGCAGGAGGGCGGACTACAGCACCAACACCAAGCGATGGGTAAATAGCACGTGGTTCTCGGCCAGCTTGACCTCACAGCTTGAGCTCACAGCTTGGTCTCGCCTTGGCCATTTTTGATGTTACACAATTCATTAAGCCGGAGGTCCGGATGCGGATATCCCGGAGTTGTGGTCGGAGGTGGTTGAAATATGCCGGGCGACTCCGGTGGCAGGAGCGATGACCACGGCCGGGAGCGAGGATGGAATATCAGACAACCGATCAGCCGTCATGTTGGACGTCTACTCGCATACATGCAGAAGGCCTATTTAAGGGCGATGCAGATTATGTTGAGGCCACCGTCATCCCACCCCATTGGGCAGAGATCGGCTGCAAACAGCTCATGATGCCCAGATCGTGACAGCCGTGGTTGGCTTCCAGTTTCGGATGGTGGTGCTATCTCACTCGACTGACCTTGTGAGCTTCCGCATTGTCCCGCCATTGACGAGCGGACTCATGGCTCTCGCGTCATTCTTCGCAGACAAATACCCCCACATCCGTCCGCTTGCCATGAGCGCATCGGTTACTCATGGGCAAACGCAACGGAAACCGGCCGTAGATGGCGCCGTTGCATGTAGGCGCCTGAGTCGCGGCGTTGGCGCTGCTGCGAGGGTGGGATGGCCGCGGCATCGAGGCGCATCCAGGCTGGGCTGGCCCTGTCCGTCCCCAGCTGTGAGCGACAACAAAGTCAGGTCTGGGCGTCTGGAGACATGGTGGGATCGATTGGCTGCCGAAGATGCAGCATGCCGAGCGCAGCACGAACCAGCACGAACCAGCTTGTTGGGGGGCGATCCCAGCGCATGGGAGCCCCGTCAATCGACTACGACATGGGAGTCCCGGGAACCGCCAGGCCCGGCGGCACGACCAAGCACGCCCAAGCACATCCAAGCACATCCAAGCCAGGCGGCAGCACTAGTTCCAGACGAGCCCAGAGCCCAGAGCCCAGAGCCCAGAGCCCAGAGCAGCCAGGCAGGGAACCGTCTACGTGGACGACGGCCAGAAGAGCGCCAGCCGCGCCAGAGACCATCACGGTCCCTGCTGGCTGCACCTGCGCGATAAGAGCCCGAGGCCCTGCGAGTCTGCAACCCGAGACCCCAGACTGACCCAAGACATAGTGAGTCTGTGACATACATACTGTATACTTCGTACATACCTGTCTGTCATGTTCGTCTCACTCGCCTCACTTGCATATTCCCTCGTGTCCGCTTGACAGGCGCCTCGGGCTGGCCGTCCTCTGATCGACATACCGTCCCAAACCCTCAGCCATCGCGGCGTCGCCTCCACCGCTTTCGGAGCCTCGCGGCCTTTGCCTCCTCCATGGAGCCCCCCGGGCCCGGACAGACCATTCCAGTCGAGGAACCTCGGCGGGTAAAAGTGGCCCGCCCCGGGGTCGCCTGGGACGCCTGGGTCGCCTGGGGGGCGTGTTTCCACGGGCTTCTGCTCCGGCGAAACCCAGGCGTCGCAGCGCAAGCGGCCAGCGGAGAGAGGGCGGAGGCTGGAGAGCATGAGGGAGGGGGGGGAGGAAATTGGGTCAATTTGGCGCCGCCCTGCCGCTTTGGCTGGGGCTGGTCTGGCTGGGCTGGTCTGGCTAGGCCTGTCATGTTGGTCCCGTGTTATGTGATAGTCCAGTCCCGTACAGAGTACTCCGTCCAAAGTGCAAAGTACCCTGAACGCTCCGAGGCTTGGACACTCCTGCGAGCTGGGCTGTCTGGGAGGCGAACCGACCGGGTCTTGTTTAGGTCTCCACCCAGCATGATTCATTCATCAGCCTCCTCGTCTCCTTATAAAGCAATCACGGTCCCCGTCTTCGCCTTGCCGCTGACGCATTCTTGGTTGTGTCGTATGAACCTTGGTCCTTTGCTTTCCACCGACTTCTGAGCCTCGTCACTGCATCACCAACAAACTCGGTCGATCTCCCGTCGCTCTCGACACTCTCACTACCTTACATCTCACCGTCTCAACCTCATCACCCCATCAATCTCTCCACCACCAACTCTCCACCACCAATCCACCAACCTCGCAACCATGCCTCCCAAGCGAATCCGTTGCACCGCCAGCCAGTGCCGTGAGCCCGCTCAGCGAATCGTCGGAGACTGCACCTTTTGCCAGGGACATTTCTGCGGCAAGCACCGCCTTCTAGAGGACCACAAGTGCACCGGACTCGAGGACGTGAGCAACACTCAAGTCCCCATTCTCTCTCAACCACGGTTGCTAATCTACCGATAGTGCAAGAAACAGTCCCACGAGCGAAACGCTGCGCAGCTCGAGTCCGAGCGCACCCAGGTTATCCGGGGCGTATGACGAGATCACGAACCCCCAGAAGCTGGAGTTTGGCGTCGCTCCATGGCTTCAGACGGAAACTTTGACGACCACGACGTAATGACGAGATATGGGGCAGGGATCTACCGGAGCTGAGAGGCGTTTTCCGCCGTTGTATTCTATTCAGCAGTGGGTGTTTTGCGTTGGCGTACTGGGCATCTTTGGCAATCACCCGATAGCCGGGTTCTGAATTGATTCTTTTTAACACATAACCAAGCGCAGTCCGCAGTGAATGGCCTTCCGGTGACAACGTCTGACTCGATGAAATGATGAACTCATGACAAGGCACTGCCTGATTACGTGTTCTAGGACCCGTTTCCAGTGACCCTTTTGGACCCCGTCTTATCTCCGATATCGTATCGGTGCCATGATCTCGTGAGCCGCCGCTCAATTGACGACACACGTCTCATGACTACAATAGCGCCCTCTTGGCTGCGCTCTGCACCGCGCTGGAACGGGAATACGACGCAACGCTGAGTAGGGAGTAGTAGGGTATCAACAGGTATTCATGCATTTAAAGGCGCCATCCGAACAACAGCGCTGTCGCGCTCGCTACGTGGTCCGCCGCCCAGCCACTGAATTCCGCTCGGCTAGTGCCGCCGGCAGGGCCGTGGGATGGCCAACAGTGCTGCAACTGACCCGTCAAATTCTCACTCCTCGTGCTTGACCACGACGTCTTGTGTAACCTCCAGCTTGACCGCCGTGCCATCGTCCTCAACCTCAACCTTCTCCGCCTTGATTCTCCGTCCCTCAGAGACCTTTTTCCGATCTGCCGCCTTGCAGAGCCCCTCGAACCCTAGCTCGCACTCACCGCACTTTCGCCCAACAGGGAGGCAAACCGCCTGTCCCAGCCCGACCAGCAACGAGTTGATTTCGCGCCATCGGTCGTGCGGCAACCAGGATTGAAGTGCGTGGCGGGTTTCTTCCGGGTTCTTGGTCTTGTTCCAACCCCAGAGGTTCGTGATCCGGTGCACATGCACGTCGACACCGATTCCCTCGGTGCGGTTCCACGCAACCGACATGCACAGGTATGCCATCTTTGGTCCCACGCCGGGTAGAGATGTGAGCCCTTCGATCGTGTCGGGGATATCGCCGTTCCATTTATCGCGAAGAATCTCGGCCGTTTGCTTAAGATATCTGCATCGTCAGCCGTTGCTCCAGTCCAATCTAGATCGACATACTTCGTCTTGTTATTGTGAAATCCCACTGCCCATATAGACTGGTTTAATAAGTTTGGCTCTACTGCAATCATATTGTCGAGATTTAGTCCAACCGGCGCGCCAGGTTTGTACGCCGGCAGCTCGGTCTGGAGCCTCTTCATGACTACCGCAGTGACTGTGTCCTTTGTTTGGCTTGATAGCATCAATGCCACCAGTGAATGGTACCGTTGGTCCTTGGGGGAAGCATTTTGATCTGCCAACCGCTCACACCCCATGGTATCGACGGCAGCACCGTACGCGGCGCCCCCAGGTGCTCGCATCTTCCTTACGACGTTGTACATGGCCTCCCAGTCGGACGGTGGTTCGATCGTAGTGTCTCCGGTCGACGGGTCGATGGCTTTTCGAGCGGGTTTGCGGGCTCGGCGCGGAGCCTTGGGCGGCGAGGGGATGGAGCTGAGGGAGTCTTCGATGGCTTCGGATTTGATGCCTTCGGACTTGATGTATTCTGACTTGATCTGTTCGGTTTTGACGTGTTTTATCTTGACCCCGTTTGGCGATAATGGGCCCTCCGACTTGACCGTATCGGCTCGTCGTCGCTTTCTGACCGGAAGGTCGACAACATCTTCAATGTCGCGAATCTCGGACTTGATCTCTTCTGTTTTCGCAGTCGCAAGGGCAAACCGTGCCAGGGACGATCGCGTCGTTCGCCTTGGGGGTGAAACCGGCTCCGACACGCGGTCAAATAGCTTTGCTGCGTCTCTGGAGACTCTGGAGCTCCGCATAATGTGACAATGGCCTGCAGAATGGCTGTCCAGGTTGATATGAGTCGCCTCCTGAACGCGTCTTGCTTCGACTTTCTACCGTGGCAACTCTCCCAAAAACCCCCACGG